CATTTTAACAACTCATTCTCATGCAATCAATAAAATAGAGGTGATCTTAATCTAGTTCAAATCATTTTCATGCATTTAAACTAGGAGGAAATCAAATAAAGTGCAACAATAATCTCAAGCCATTAAAAATCATGTCTTTCATCAATTTAAGGCATGTAATCAATCCAACTATCATCATTCATCCCTCATTCAATACATATTGATGTGGATTTAAACCCCTTAACTTAATAAAGAATCTAAAATCACACAAGTAACACAAGCCCTTCGAATTTCCTAAGAAAATCGAACAACTTAAGAATAACGAACCGAATATGACTTTGAAAACGACCACTCTTGGAACGAATTCAACGCCTCTCAAATTACCTAGACCACTCCTGGAACTAAGTACTTTGATGAACAAAACTTAGACTACTCCTAGAACTAAGAATTGAACGTTCTAATTATCAAAAAAACTCCTTGAATTGAAAACTAGCAAAAGAATTTGTAAGCAATTAAGCAAAACAAACAATTAACTTGAATTTTAATGATTTTCGAATGTTATTGAAAAATCACGAAAATTACATTATTTATAGACTAAAACTAACTATTCCTAAGTCTATTCGAACTAGGAAAAAACCCTAGCCTTGATCCCCAAGTATCCTAGATAGAATAGGAGAACCAATTCCACCTAAACTAGGAAACTAGTAATAAGACTAATTCTACTTAACCTAAAACTCCTTAAAACAATTCCTAATTAACTTAGAAATTCTATTAAGCTAAAAACAATTCCTAATCAACTTAGGAACTTACTATGCTAAAACAAATCCTAATTCAAATAGGAACTCACTTTGTCAAAAGCAAGTTCTAATCAACTTAGGAACTCACTTAACGAAAACAATTCCTAATTGAAATAGAAATCCTATGTGCTTAAAACAAGAAAAACCCTTTCAAGTGAAAGGTAAAAACTTGTAAGCAAAACTCTAAAAACTAAGTAATGAACTACGCATCTTCTTCAATGGCTACACATGTTAACCATTCTTGATTCTTCCCTCCAATTTCGAACCCTATAGGACTTAAAACCAATATGATTGGCTCTTCAAAAGAATTTCCCTCTTGATTCACATCACATATCTTCCACCCCCTTCCCCTAGATAAGAGTTTAGCCTAGAGAAGGGAGATTAAACATAATATCAAAACTAGAAATAAACACAAGAAACTCAAAACAAAACATGATTGAAATATATGAAATCAATAACAACTAGATAAACTAATAAGATAGACAAAAATAAGTAACAATAAAACAACTAAAAAATATTAATGGAAAGGAGAAGAGATTACTAAAGAAAGGATTGAAGAAAGATGAAAACTTGGATACTTGCTTGATTGATGGAAGATTAAAGCTTGAGCAAAGTTGAATACAATAAAGGAAGCTTGAATAACAATCTCCTTTCTCTCTCTAGATTAGGCTAATGTTCTATGGAATTAGTGCTAAGTGTCTTTCTATTACAAAGAGTCCCGTCTATATATATGTGGCTCCACCCAAAAGAAAGAGACTTGGACAACAAGGCGCAAATAAATCGTAAACCCGGCCGTGCGCGCCAGTACAGATGAGCTGCGCGCCCGCACACAATGTTTGTGCGCCCTCTCAGCGTAGTGCGCGGCCGCAACTTTGAGGGTACGGGGAAAATGAGCGCGCCAGCACATTAGTCCTGTGTGCCCGCGCATCAGGTATGTGCGCCCGCACACAAGTCGCGCATAAGGCCGCGCAAACTCTCTGGTTTGGCTCTGTTTCTTCAGTCTTGCTGTGTAGGTTCTTACAGGGCTGCGCGCCCGCACAGCCTCACATGTGCGCCCGCACAGAAGCCGCACAGTACCACGCGCACAACAGATAGCTTGGTTTCTTGATATCCTCTTTCTTTCGGCACATAATACCTACAAAACCAAAGCATGGAAATCAAAATAAAAATAAAGCGAGAAGACTAAGAGAAGGGATGATAAGGGAGAAAAGGAAAGAGGAAGCAAAACTAAGTAAAAATGCTTAGGAAAAGGGCCAAACAAGCGCAAATGAGGGGAGAATCCTTAGAAAAAAAGGATAAAAGAGTGGCATTTGGCATAAATGCCACTCATCAAAATCCCCCACACTTGCCTCTTGCTTGTCCTCAAGCAAGGAAAATCGGAACGAAAAGACAAACACAACAAACATAACATGACAAGGTTTTCGCAAAACCAATCAAACCTCAAGGTAGTGGGATTCTCAATTTGGACTCATTTTCAAATAAATGCACCAAAGAATACTTATCTTTCTCGATTTAAGGAGGGAAAGCACGTTCCAAGATGCTCAAGGTTGAAAAAGACAAACCTAAGCTAAGCGTAGAGAACTAATGATTTCATTCTTCGCCCTAGCCCCAACCAAGACGGTCCGTGTTCTCTCCACTAGATTCAATTCATCTCCTAGCTAGCTCCTCATGGTTCCTCGAGGGAACCGGAAAAAGAAAATTTTATGTGGAGTCATAAGGTCATTCCGACATCTCAACTATGCATACTCTCTCCATAGGGTTGAAATTTATCTCCCTCCACCGTTCTTTGACCACGCCCCTCTAGAATCCAAGGGTCTTAAGTAGGGTTGTAATGTCATGCTAGGGGTTATGGTTAGGAAACAATTTGAAAATTTTGGTGGCAATTCCTAAGTGAAGCGTAAGAGTGGCCATCTCTCAAGAACATCCTAAGAATTGAACCTATTCTTCAAACTTACAACATTTCGAAACAAACCTACCACATTACTTCAATCTTTTTCATTTTTTTTTTCATTTTCATTTTTTCATTTTTTTTGCTTGGGTAGCACACCATTATCTCTCGGAATCTTCCATACATTCCTTGCATTCCGCTCCAGGGATGTACGGCTGGGGTATGGCAAGATACAATGGTGCTCTTTGTCAACTATCCAGTCATGAAAATTGTTGGCATCTGAAGTTCCTTGTAGGAACCCCGACCTTCTCATCTGCTGAATGTCGATGAATAGATTTTTGTCGGCCCCCACTTGAGTGCACGAGGGGAAGAAGCGTTCATAGTTGAGCATCTTCGCAATCCTGGTAATCATCCCACCGAGGGCAATTTCTCCTGTCTTGTGGCCAGACTTGATTGCCTCGCAGCACAACCAATACTCCATATCGAGCCGCCCTTTCAATTCCTCCCTAGTGGCTACCCACAAAGTAAATAGCTCCTCATGAGAGAGCTTGCTCAAATCCTGCTTGCTAAACACCGCAAACCCCAGAATTCGGTGTAAAATACGGAGCACAGGGTGGATTATATGGTTGGCCACCGAATATCGGGTGTTGAATTCTTCATAGTCGGTAATCATTTGCCACCATCTAAATGCATCGTACTCGGGGAACAAGCTCAACGAAGGGGCAAGGAGGTCCGCCTCGGGGTTCAGATCCAACAAAACATTAAGATCACTCAGAGTCATAGAGTGCCGGTTGTTGAACAATTAAAAGGAAATCTAGAAGTCGTTCCCAAGAGGCTCTTTTTCAAAAGAGGCCAAGAATTCGAAAGTTGGCTCCTTACAAGTTCGGTATTGATGTTTGATGAACTCGCTCATCCCCAAGTTATCAAGGAGCGACCTTATATCGCCGTCAATCCCTAAAGCTCTCATGGAGCGTTGATCATAGTGTCGGAAGGGATTTAACTTTCGGCCATGAAGGTCGTTGAAGAACGTAGCATGGACCTTGTTCGAAAATCTCAATTTAAGGGGAACATTAGGTCCTTGAGCTTGAGTTTGTTGGGTACTTGGTTCTTCAACCGTTAACATGGGCTCCTTTCTGCTCCTTCTTTTGCTCATTATGTTCAACCAACACAAAAAACCCAACCAAAAGGAGAACTACCTTCGAACTTAACCAACAATTGGAAAACAACAACAACAACTCAAGTCTCAACAATCTGCAAAAGGGTTAGTGCTAACAACTAACCATACAAATATAACGCCCAAGACAACAAGAATCAACAACAAAGCAGTCAATCAAAACACATGATGATAGCAAGCAATTCTCATGAAATTAGTTGCATTATCAACAATTCGAACACCAAATTTCTCAACTTAGTTTCATGAAAATGGCTTCAAAAACAATAGTATTAACAACAAAGTCCCCAAAATCACCAAATTTCACACTAATAACCAACAAATCCCTCACAAAGAAAACCAAAATCACATGCAATTCACTCAAGCTAATTCATATTTAATAACTAAAAATTTTGCATAAATAATTGAAATTAAGTAATAAAATAGCAAAATTTAGAGTTATACCACCTTGTAGAAGCTTGAACACCACCAAGAGCCTCCAAGAACACCACCTTCAATGAAGCTTGCAAACCATGAAAATGGGGGATTTTTGGGTATTTTGGAGAGAGAAAGTGGGTGAATTTGTGAGTAGAGTGAAAGTTATTGATGGATTTGAAAGAAAATCAATGGAATTTGTGAAAAATGGGTGAAATTTGAAGGTTAGGGTTTGGGTTTGTGAGGAGAGAGAAGAGAGCATGAAAATGGGGTTCGAAAATATGAGAATGAAATTGGGAAAAAGAGGGTTAAAAACCCGATTTTCCTGCTCTACGCGCCCACACAGGAGAGTTGCGCGCCCACACAGTTGAGCTGCGCGCGCAAAGAGGTTGCGCACTAGGTCGCGTAAACTCTCTGCCTCGAGCTTCAATTTTTGATAAAATCTGTGCGGGTTCTGACAGTGAACGCGCGCCCGCACAGGTCACACAGCGCGCCCGCACAGATGGCGCGCACAGGGTTGCACAGAGTAGTTTTGATTTATCCTCACATCTTCGAAATAGAAAATCCTTGTTCCTTCATCATCCAAACACCTATTAACCAAAAAGGTGAAAAAAAGTAATCAAATTTAAAAAGGAGAAAGTGAAATCGGAATATTCTAAAAAAAAAAATTTAGAAAGGAGTTAGAAACTCGGGATTCCTCCCGAGAAGCGCTTCTTTATGAGGTCACTAGCTTGACCATGAGAAAAATTCTTCAAATGGGAGGCTTGGGATCAAAAGGATCAAGCGATATACAATCGATGATACCAACTTCTTCCTTGCAAAAGTAATGCTTTAAACGATGACCATTAACCATAAACTTGTTACCATCCACATCTAAATCAAAGGAGCCATAAGGAGTAGTCTTTGAAATCACAAAAGGACCCGACCACTTTGACTTGAGTTTACCTGGAAACAAACGAAGCCTTGAGTTGAAAAGAAAAACCTTGTCTCCAACCTTAAAGTTCTTGTTTCGAATATGTTGGTCATGCCACTTTTTGGTCTTCTCCTTATATAACCTTGAGCGTTCATAAGCATCATCTCTAAGCTCTTCAAGTTCATTGAGCTTCAACAATCTCTTCTCACCGCCCAAAGACAAATCCATATTAAGCTCCTTGATAGCCCACCAAGCCTTGTATTCCAATTCAACCGGCAAGTGACAAGCCTTACCATAGACCAACCTATAAGGGGTTGTGCCGATTAGAGTCTTGTACGCCATCCTAAGAGCCCATAGCGTGTCATCAAGTTTGAGAGACCAATCTTTCCTTGATTTATTCACCATCCTTTCAAGAAGATTTTTTATTTCACGATTCGAGACCTCCACTTGTCCTTATGTTTGAGGGTGGTAAGGTAATCCAACCTTGTGATGAACGCCATATCTCTTGAGAAGAGCTTCAAATTGCTTTTTGGCGAAATGGGAGCCTCCATCACTAATTAGCACCCTCGGAACTCCAAACCTAGGAAAGATGATCTTCTTTAGGAGCTTAAGCACAACCTTGTGATCATTGGTAGGTGAGGGTATGGCTTCAATCCATTTTGTCACATAATCGACCGCTACCAAGATATATAGATTCCCACAAGAAGAAACGAAAGGTCCCATGAAATCTACCCCCAAACATCAAACTTATAGAATTTTTTGTTGGGGAATTTCGTCCCTCTTGGTAATGCCTCCGCTCCTTTGACATCTATCACATTGCGCAACGAATTGGTGGGCGTCTCTATGCATTTTCGGCCACCACAATAAGGATTGAGAGATTTTTGCCACTGTTTTGTCAACACCACCATGTCCTCCACATGGTAGTGAGTGGCAATGCTCAAGAACACCTTGAATTTAATGATCTGGAACGCACTTCCGATAAAGGCCATCTCTACATTGCTTGAATAGGTATTGGTCATTCCAAAAGTATCTTCTCAGCTCCTTGAAAAACTTCTTCTTTTGTTGAGAAGAGTACTCCGGGGGAACGACTCCGCACGCAAGATAGTTGGCTATATACGCGTACCAAGGGATAGAAGTCGACATCAAAGTCATGAGAGCCTCGAATCCTCTCTCGTCATTAATCGGTACATCCTCCTTGTTCTCAAATGGTAGCCTAGACAAATGATCCGCTGCATAGTTCTCCGCTCCCTTCTTATCCCTCATTTCCATGTGAAAGTCTTGGAGAGAGAGAACCCAACGGATCAAGCGAGGCCTAGCTTCTTTCTTGGTCATGAGATACCGCACCGCGATGTGATCCGTGTACATGATAACTTTTGAGCATATGAGATAGGACCAAAACTTATCGAATGCAAACACTACCGCTAACATCTCTTTCTCCGTTGTTGTGTAATTCCTTTGAGCCTCATCTAGAGTCCGACTTGCGTAGTAGATGACACATGTTTTCCTTGTTTCTTTTGATCAAGAACGACACCTACTGCAAAGTCACTAGCATCCCACATTAGCTCAAAAGGCAAGCTCCAATCCGGAGCTTGCACAACGGGAGAAGAAATGAGAGCTTCCTTGAGCTTACAAAACGCCTCAAGGCAAGCCTCATTAAAGTAAAAAACAACCTCTTTTTTGAGTAGTTCGGTCAAGGGTTTGGCGATTGAAGAAAAATCTTTGATAAACCTCCGGTAAAAATCGGCATGCCCAAGAAAAGCCCGTACCCCCGTGATGGAAGTAGGAGGGGGAAACTTTTCAATCACCGAAACCTTGGTCGGATTTACTTCAATGCCATTTTTTGAAACCTTATGGCAGAGGACAATGTCCTCCTCAACCATAAAATGGCACTTTTCCCAATTTAAAACCAAACTCGTCTCTTGACACCTTTTCAAAAAAATTTTAAGGTTAAAAAGACAAGTGTCAAAAGACGAGCCACCAACACTAAAATCATCCATGAAAACCTCAATTTCTTTTTCTAGCATCTCAGAGAAAATGGAAGTCATGCATCTTTGAAAAGTAGAGGGAGCATTGCATAATCCGAATGGCATTCTTCGATATGCAAATGTCCCATATGGACATGTGAAAGTAGTTTTCTCTTGATCACTTGGATGGATAGGGATTTGGAAAAATCCGGAATACCCATCCAAGAAACAAAAGAAAGCATGGTTAGAAAGCCTTTCAAGCATTTGGTCCATGAAAGGGAGAGGAAAATGATGTTTCTTGGTGTTTTTGTTCAATCTCCTATAATCAATGCACATACTCCACCCGGTCACCGTCCGGGTGGAGATTTCCTCTCCCTTTTCATCCTTGATTATGGTCATTCCACCCTTCTTTGGAACCACATGAACCGGGCTAACCAATTTTCTATCGGAGATAGCATAGATGATGCCCGCCTCACGTAGTTTCAAAATTTATTTCTTCACAACCTCTTGAAGGTGGGGGTTCAACCTTCTTTAAGGTTCAATGGAGGTGGAATGATCATCTTCAAGATGAATACGATGCATGCATAAAGAAGGGCTAATACCTTTAATATCATCAATGCTATACCATATCACATCCCTATATTTCCTTAAAACATCAAGAAGTTTTTCCAAATTAAGACCATCTAGGGTAGCATTGACAATAATAGGGTATTTTCCCTCCTTATCAAGAAAAGCATATTTCCAAGAAGGGGGAAGGGGTTTGAGTTCTACCTTGGGAGGAGGCTTAGAACTCTCCTCCAATTTCTCTTCCTTGGACTCAAGCTCGGTCTCAACTTCTTGTTCAACTTCCTCCTTTGAGGATTCCTCCATTGCCATGACAAATTCTTTAGCCTCTTGAGAGTGGAAATCTTCTTTGCATGTAAGGGCTTCAATCATTGGATCTTGAGGCCTCATCACGACCCTCCCCAAGCGATCTAGCTCCTCATTCACAACATCAACTATATAGTATTTTTCAACCATGGCGATCTTGAGCAACTTCGAAAATTCAAAGACAATTTTTTCATCGGCCACTTCACAAGTGATGGTGTTGTTCTTGGAATTGATGACCACCCCCAAAGTTTTAAGAGCTTCACGTCCCAAAATCAAAGGAGTGTTAACATCTTCCTCCATATCCATCACTACAAAGTCACAAGACACGTAGATGTGTCCCACTTGAATTGGAACATCCTCAAGTTCTCCACAAGGTAATTTCACCAATCGATCGCCCAATTGAATTGTCTTCCTTGTAGGGATCATCTTAATATTAAGTTTTTGAGAAATGGATAGAGGGATTAAACTAACACTTGCTCCAAGATCGTCTAAGGCGCCCCTAGCTTCCATGTTCCCAATTTTCACCGGCAAAGTGAAACTTCCCGAGTCTTTTTCCTTCTTGGGCATCTTATGTTGGACAAGAGCACTCACTTGATGTGGAAGGGTGATAAGCTCATCATTGAGTTTCCTCTTGTTGGTGAGAATATCTTTGAGGAACTTGGAATAAGATGGCATTTGTGTCACAACTTCAAGAAAAGGGAGGTTGATATGCAATTTTTTCATGACACTAAGAAATTTTGTGAATTTGTCATTCAACTTCCTCTCCGCAAGCCGATCGGGAAAAGGAACCAGTCCATCAAGATTCCTAGCCTCACTAGGAATTGAAGTTGTCTTCTCATTGTCTATCTTCTTCTTCTCCGAACCTCCTTCTATCTCATCACCTTTTTCTTTCTCACCTCCCTTGTTTTCATTCACACTCTCCTCTCCTCCCTTTTTTCCCTCACTATCCCCTCATTTGGTCCTTCATAGGAAGTTCCCGACTTTAATGTGATCGCCTTGCATGTATCGGGTTTTGGATTGTGAGATGGGTTGGGTTGTGGTTGTCCGGGTAGATTGGATGATGAATTGAAAGGAGTTCTCTCGGCCAATTGAGCTGGTTGTGAATCAACCATCTTGTTTTGGGCTCTTATCTCTTGCATTTGTTGCCCAAAAGATTGCATTTGCGCATGCATGGCTTGGAGGAGTTGAGTTTGAGTTAGCTCCGCTTAAGGTGCTTGTTCTTGATGGTTTCTTTGAGGTGCTTGGGTTTGATTGTTGTATTGGTTGTTCCTTCGATAGCTTCCTCTTGGGTTTTGGGGTTGAGATGGAGTTGGATTTTGATATTGAGGGTTGGAGTTATAGGAAGGTTGAGCTTGTTGGTTCCATTGTTTAGGTTGAGGTACAAACCCGAGTGGTGGTTGTCTCCAAGCTACTCCACCGCCGCTTCCTCTAAATCCCTCTTGACTTGTGTTGTATGCCGCTACATGTTCGGGGCTTAAACCTCCACAATAGGATGTATCATGGTTCGTTCCTCCACAATTTTGACAAGACAAAGAGTTAACTTGAGAAGAGCTTGCTCCACCACTTGAGCTTGCTCCACCACTTGAGCTTGCATTCACACTCGTGTTCAATTTGGAAAGCCCTTTTGTTAGTTGATCAATTTGATGTTGTAATTGATCAACTTTCTCCAATTCGTAAATACCACCTCTCTTTGGAGCATTTCTTCTTCGGCCCCCCCAAGAGTAATTCTTTGCTACCTCTTCTATTGTGGCTTCAACTTGATTTTGAGGGATTTTGATTAATTGGCCACCCGCCCCCGCATCCAAATTGGCTCTTGACATGGGCTCCAATCCGCCGTAGAAAACCCGCATGAGCAACCCTTGATTGTACTCATGGTGGGGACATGCTTGCACCAACTCTTTGAATCTCTCCCATGCTTCACCAAGACTTTCATCGGCCTCTTGCTCAAATGATGCAATTTTCCTTCTCATTTCGGCGGTTTTCTCTTCGGAGATAAAGCGCTTCAAGAACGCCTTTACAACCTCCCTCCATGTTGTGAGAGAGTTAGGCTTTACTTGATTTAGCCATTTCTTTGCTCGTTCGGTGAGAGATTGCCGGAAAAGGTGCATACGAATGTATTCTTGACTCACTTCACAGGTTTGCATCATTGCGCACAATTCAAGGAATCGGTCCAAATGTTCAATAGGGTCCTCACTTGCACTTTCGGAAAATTGCTCCGATTGGACCATTCGAGTATATTGTGGATGGATTGAGAACTTGGTTTCTGTGACGGGTAGCAAAATCCCTCCCGTGAGCTCATAATCCTCCGGATTTACGAAGTCACGAAACAAGACATTATTCTCTAGTCCCGCCATTGATTCGCGTGGTGAACTTGAAGAGTAAGTATCACTCTCACTATCAACTATATCACCAAAACCTCTTCCCTCGTCTTGATAAAGCCTACGGACTTGTCTCAAGGTTCGGTTGATTTCGTGGTCAATTTGATGTGAAGGTGTTCCTTGAGACCTCCTAAGCATTCACCAAAGCTAAGCAAACAATTAGCAATGACAAGGATGATAAAACAAAAGAAACAAAAAGAAAAGAAAGCAAAATGACTCTAACAAAAGCAATAAATTCGCTAAACAAGCCGCTTCCCCGGCAACGGCGCCAAAATTTGATCGAGGTTGGAAGTAGGTCGTTGGGACTACTAACCCTAACCAAATTAGAAATTTATAATACCTAAACCTACACTAAACTAGTTAGTGGCAAGTAAAGGGTCGATCCACTAGGGAAGCACGCTAATTCAACATCAAATATCACTAATGCAAGAGTGAAAAGGGGATTGTTTTGTTGGTTTTGTTGAGTAGAACACTAAAACTACAGTAAGCAAGAAAATGATGATTAAAATCAATAGAAAATGACGCTAGGGGTTCGGGGGTTTCAAACATGCATTAGAAAGAGGGGAACAATGATAGTTATCATGATGAACATGCCAAAGAACACAAAATTCTACGTAAACAATTCATTCTCATGCAATAGTCTAGGCAAATCAATAAAAGAAGTCAATGCTAATTAGGATCATTCTCATGCATCCTATTAGACACAAGCAAATGAAGAGAATAAAGAAGCAAAATACATGAAACTCCATTTTAACAACTCATTCTCATGCAATCAATAAAATAGAGGTGATCTTAATCTAGTTCAAATCATTTTCATGCATTTAAACTAGGAGGCAATCAAATAAAGTGCAACAATAATCTCAAGCCATTAAAAATCATGTCTTTCATCAATTTAAGGCATGTAATCAATCCAACTATCATCATTCATCCATCATCAATACATATCTTCCACCCTCTTCCCCTAGCTAAGTGTTTAGCCTAGAGAAGGGAGATTAAACATAATATCAAAACTAGAAATAAACACAAGAAACTCAAAACAAAACATTATTGAAATATATGAATTCAATAACAACTAGATAAACTAATAAGATAGACAAAAATAAGTAACAATAAAACAAATAAATAATATTAATGGAAAGGAGAAGAGATTACTAAAGAAAGGATTGAAGAAAGATGAAAGCTTGGATACTTGCATGATTAATGGAAGATTAAAGCTTGAGCAAAGTTGAATACAAGCAATAAAGGAAGCTTGAATAACAATCTCCTTTCTCTCTCTAGATTAGGCTAATGTTCTATGGAATTAGTACTTAGTGTCTTTCTATTACAAAGAGTCCCGTCTATATATATGTGGCTCCACCCAAAAGAAAGAGACTTGGACAACAAGGCGCAAATAAATCGTAAACCCAGCCGTGCGCCCGCACAGATGAGTTGCGCGCCCGCACACAATGTTTTGTGCGCCCTCTCAGCGTAGTGCGCGGGCGCAACTTTGAGGGTACGGAGAAAATGAGCGCGCCCGCACATTAGTTCAACGCGCCCGCGCATCAGGTATGTGCGCCCGCACACAAGTCGCACATAAGGTCGCGCAAACTCTCTGGTTTTGCTCTGTTTCTTCAGTCTAGCAGTGCGGGTTCAGACAGGGCTGCGCGCCCGCACAGCCTCACATGTGCGCCCGCACAACCTCAGCACATTACCCCGCGCACAACAGATAGCTTGGTTTCTTGATATCCTCTTTCTTTCGGCACATAATACCTACAAAACCAAAGCATGGAAATCAAAATAAAAACAAAGCGAGAAGACTAAGAGAAGGGAAGATAAGGGAGAAAAGGAATGAGGAAGCAAAACTAAGTAAAAATGCTTAGGAAAAGGGCCAAACAAGCGGAAATGAGGGGAGAATCCTTAGAAAAAAGGATAAAAGAGTGGCATAAATGCCACTCATCAGTACCTACAAAAGAACGGAACTTCGGATGGTCGGAAGTTCGCCTCCGAAGATTAAGTTAGTACGGATTTGGAGTAAAACTGATGCAAATCATGACGAGTCCATTCGTCCAATAAATCATGATCATCCTACAAGTCCAATTCACAAAGAAATCATTCTTGCTAAGTCATTTGAAGATCAAGTGTTAGATACTTTTTGTGCGCATGGACCGTTTCTTGCTAACCAAGGGTTTACTTGTTTACATTCTGGTTATGAATGTTAATGGGCATCCTAGGCACGTTTTGAACAGCCTTAGGCATAGGAAAAGGCGTCCTTGAAGCAAGGAGAAACTTCATTGCAAGTCATAAACATTTAGCATGAAGAAAGGCATGAATCAAGGGGAGGTTACTCCACGTTTTTTATGGTTCTTTATGGCTGTTTTTAAGCTTCTTTTCAGCAGTTTTTAAGAGGTTAATTAAGGGTGATTAAAGCCTAAAATCAGTTAAGAAAATCTGTTTAGCTTAGGCGTGATTCTAGGCTAGGTTTTAGCTTTCATGTTTAGTTACATAAACACACATTAAGCTTGTTTAATGCGTGTAGTTTAGTACTAGTTTGTTTTCTTTATTTAAGCTTATGAAATGTAAGTGTATGGCAGATTATGATATATGAATTAAGAAAGTTTTCTCCTTAAAAAACTATTTATTCTTGTTGCTAAGATAAATCGTTTTTGTAGCCAAGTTTAACTTGACGAATTTGAGTGGTTAAGTGAGTTTTCCTTCCATGCAAATTAAACAACTAGTGGGTTTCAAGTGAGTAATCCTTGCCTACATATCTTGTTTGTTTAAGTGAGTAATCCTTACAAACTAATCCTTTTTTCCTCTAAAAAACGTTCCTTAACCATTTCCAAAACAACCTACAAACCTTTACCTGTAATTTGACTTAAAACACCAACCCTTTTTTTCTTTCCACTTAAGTTTGATCCATTAAGCTTGTATTAACTAAGACTTTCTATTAGTTTTTACATCATTTGGCGCGTCAGGTAGGGGGCATTTCTGTCCAAAATGGATCAAGCAAACCCAAATGAAACCATTGACCAAAGGAGACTTAGAATGATGGAGGAAAACCAACAAAGA